TATATAACTAAACGAACTTTATGGTTGTACGGCAGTGAAGCATCGGTGCCACTGATGTTGCTGTCATTGATGATGATGATGATGATGATGTTAGGCATGGGTAGTCTGGGCCCAAACCTGCTGTATCCTGAAGGGAAGCATCAGCAGTAGCCTATTTTCGACCACCCACCATGATGTATTCAGTAGCTAGCGCCATCCGGCTGACGGCCAATGTTGCGTGAGATTATTTGTAGGCGTGTAATTCGTGGTTGTACGTGGGCTGGGAAAGTACTAGAGCGTTCACACTTAGACAGGAAAACGATTAGGATCTCAATCGAAGCGTTTTTCCAATCAACCTGGTCACAAAGCGTCGGTGGCTTACGTAAGACCGCCAGAGCGGCCTAAATGTTTGGTGAGCAAGTCGCCATACATATCCCAGTCCCCGTCCAGGAGGGCCAGGAGGTTGTTACTCAGACCTTTACCCGTTAACCAACCTGGTATGAAGAGCTCTGTGATTGTCGCACGTAAGCTTTCCAGTATAGCTCAACGGGCTATGGAGGTGCACAGCGTCACATCGCAGTAAGGTCCAGTCTGTTCGTGACGGCTGATATATCTACTCGCTTAGTGGTGTTCAACCTCTGCTAATTTCATTGTCTCTTGATAACTCAGTTAATTGAAGTTCAGTCCAGTTCAGTTTACCAGCTATAAAGCGCCAGCTGCTACGGTTTCAATCGTCGGAAAATGGGAGAGTCTGGGAGATGCAGTCAAGCATCGCAGGCAATGGGATGATCAGTTGGTCCGGGAAACTTAGTGGCTACGCATTGAAGGTGCTTTAATGCAGAAGCGCCATTGACTGTGCAACTAAATCATTTCTGTCAGCGTCATCACATGTTGGTGAGTTGATTTCCGGAGTTCCCATCCAGGAAGCCGGCATTTGCCGACCCAACTTGGTTTACAGGTTAGTCTCTATACTTCGTTGGCAGGTCATGGTTCTAGGTGGGTGCTCTGAAGTTAGCTCCTACCCAAGGAGTCGTCATATCTGAGGGAACAGTTTCAGGCGTTTTAGGTCCATACAACGACAGTAATGTATGGACCTAGTGGTGGAAATGTATTAAAACGCTTGACTACTTTGTTGAAGATGGCGTTCAGCTTGGAGTTGCTTCGTATCAAATAATTGTGTAACAGCCACTTCCTCCTGTATTTGGTGCGTGTGGATGGGAGGTTCGGAGAAACGCCAGCGTAGCGGACTGAGCCAAATAGATAAGGACGTAGCACAGTTATACACCATTAAGACCTGTCGAATCACTTCATCACTGAAGGCATTCCTCCAATAAAACCCTTGTTTACAGTTTTTAGCCTCATATTGCCTGCTCAGCTTGGCCGCATTGACAATGAAACCACTTTGTTCCCCGTATTTAACAACAATCTGGAGCGGTTGCATTCCTTTGACGCTTCGACTGGCTCTTTCAATTTTTTCATCCCCATTGGTGGTTCGTCTTTCCGCGTGCGGTCTGTAAGGTGTGCGGAAAAAACAGTCCAAGTTTGCCGAAACCAGCGACAGGGCACGACGCCGTAGGGGGTCGTTAGACGTCTGCCGAGTCCCAGACCGTTGACTCCGAGGGATTTTCGTTTCTAGAGAGTGCCCATAAGGTTTCTGTTGTGGGGAGTTGGGGGTTTGGAAGACTTGTGTTCCACTGACGGTCGGCTAAACGTTCCCCCATTTTTATAGCTCTCACTATGTGCCGTCCGTCTGTCACTGGTTATCCTGACATCCAGTGTTGAAGACCCGGCGTTCCCTGATATCCTGCGGTGTAGTACTCTTGGACAAGCAAACAGCTGAAAATCATATTGTCATCCGAATATTGCAGAGCGTCTCCAAGCGATCTCTTCGAATCTCTTTGGACCCATTTTTGCGTTATTTCATCACGGGTCAGAATATTGCTAGGGGCGAGATGATTTAGTGGGTAGCGCTAATTTACCGACCGGAAGGTCCGTGGTTCGAACCAGAGTTCTACCTCTCGATTTTACCTGTCTAGACTTGGGCAACCTGACTGTCCCATCCATCGTGCTTCCTTCTGGTATCATGACAGTTAGTCCCCGAAAGGGTGCTACAGCTGGACGATTTTTTGCTAGATCTCACATTGTAAATGACTTCATCGATTACACCTTCTACAGGGCACGTCTTTGTGTTCAGAATGTTTTATTAATCACCGTAGGTAACTAAATACTTATTTTCTATTTCAGTCTGACCATGGCTGACTCTGAGGAGGAGACGGATCGTCATAGAAGTCGGGATAAGTTTCGGCGAGAACGCAGCGATTATGACAATCGGAGACGTCCTGGCGATAAACGGGAACCGTTTGATGACCGAGTTGGAACTGCTAACTACATTCGTAATGAACATCGAACATCTGACGTCAGACAACTGGGGAATGATCGTGGGCGGTCACCTGCTGGTGAGCCGCCACCTTACAAACGCTCCAGGAGAGATGACGACTACCGCAACACTGCTCCAAAGCGCCGCGACATGAAGGCCGCTGGTAATTTTGAGGATGATAGCATGTACCGTCCGCCACTTGTGCCCTTCAAGCGCTTTTTGGAGCCGTTGGATGATCTCATAACAGAGGAGGAGGCCTGCAATAAATATAGGGAATACAAAGAATCCTACTCAAAGCGCCACATTGAAGAGTTCTTTGAAGCCCATAAAAATGAGGAGTGGTACGTTGGTGTGGTTTCCGTTCATTGTTAATTCCTCATTAATTTTCGTATGGAAGTCGTTTTCCCCTCCAATCCAGTTTGTCATTTTTCCCCGTCCAAGGGGCACCTGATTTCTTAAACCTGATGCCTCTAAATCCGACGTTAATATCTTTTTAAAAGCCACGATTATGGCCTACAAGAATGAAATATTTTTATTGGCTCTGCTAATGGCAAGTACAACACGCTGTTGTGGGGACAGGTACAGGTGTGAGGCAACCAGCATTAAAGATTGTAGGTTCCGATTTATCAAACCGTTTAACAGCATATTGACTATCAGGTGACCGAAACCGTACCGGTTTCGTCCGAACGCAATGCACGTACAAATCCACCTTTATTTGGACCAACTCGCTACCTGAAGAATTCTACTATAATGACGCGGCGTTTACACAGCTGCTTCCGTTCTTCAGCTACTCGATCATTATTCTCAACACCTTCAACGCGATCCTCTCTGGTATGACCCAAGTGTTAAGTTGTCTAAGGGAAGTGAACACTGGTGTCATGCTGGCGATGATGGGGGTGATTTACCTACTCGAAATAAATGGATCGCATTACCAGGGCTAGCCATTGCGATATTTCTTAGTGCAATTATATGAAAACTGCGGTAGTCGAATTTTCCAAAACAACTGCCTTTCGATTTTGTCCTTTTCTACCTCATATCTGCTGTCGGGGCTTAACAGTTATCGTGCAACACCGCTTGTATCAGTCGGACCCTTGATGTAATACCGTTTGCATGAAGCGTTTATGAACTGGCACCGTAATAATGTTGGCATTTGAATTTCTTCAGCAGTCTGGAGTGCTGTCGTTTTCCAGATCCAACTACATTATCCCGCTTCATCCACATCATTTTTAGGCTCCGGCTACGATACCACCCAGACCATATGCCCTATCGCAAGGAGGCGATTGCCGCTAGTTTGAAACATCGCTTGAGTGTTTTCATGGATCTATATGAAAGAGGTTTTTTCGATAATCAAAGTGTACAAATGGACAACAGCGAAAATCTCATACGTCTCATGGATACTGTGGTGATCAAGTTGGAAGGCGGAACGGATGACGATCTGAAAGTTTTGGATATGAACGATCAAGCTCGTCAGGACGAGCTAGAATCTCGTCACCGGCACACCAGCATTTCCTCAACTCAGGTAAATCTACGGTATTCGTGGTGATATTCGTATGTGATAATTTAGGATGTTTTATTGTCTTTAGACCCTTTTTGGTCGTATATTTCACTAAGTGTAAGGAAAATAACGTGATTTCTATTCGTTTTCAGAATTCCCTCCAGCCAGGAAGTGGACATAAGAGTGAGGAAGGTGAAGCTGAATCGGACCTGGATGGGGAGGATTCGGATAAAAATGATAGCGTCCCACAACCGCTGGATAGGGTTACTGATCTTCGTTCTCGTCACCGAGATTCTTCCCATGATTCCATTCCCTCAAAACGTTCACACCGCAGTGGGAGTGGAAGTTGTAGTGTTCATTCAAGTGATGAAGACGGTTGTTTAGATCAATTGGATCGGTCAACTCTAGATAATAAAGCCACCACAAACGATCGCGCGTCCACCCCTGTGAATGATCTTCAAAAAGGTATGTTCTGTTAGTTGTTCAGTACGTTATTCGCAAAATGGAGTGTTGTGAACTAGTTTAGTGTACGGCTGATTCAGCTCATCATTTATATTGACAACAACATCGGCATTAAATATCAGTACTACTATCGAGAGTGAATGTGAACATGCGTTCCTTAGTCGAAATCTTGTCGACTACTTACACGAAGTGCGATATTCTATGCCGTTTGCTGTGTACTTGCTGTTTTCCAGTCAGAGCTAATCAGAAATGTCGGCTCTTTATTTTACTGGTCTCTACTTCCCAACTTTCAACGACTCAGGAAGTGAAACAAACTTGTTTTCGCGCACTATAGAACGTGTATTTATTTGAGCACCGGGTGCGCCTCACTTGTAGATTGCACCCAGCACAATGAGTTGTGGTGGTTCGGGTGTGTGCTACGCATGCCGGGTCACCGCCTAACAAGAGGGGCGTTGTTTTCAACGCCAACTTGGTGGTGGTGGAAACAGGGGCGGACGTAGTGTGACTTGGAAGAAGGGGAAAATATGGGTGCTGCTCCCAGGATTTGGTTTGGGTGATCCTCTTTGGTTGACAGGAGGCGTTGCGAGGTACGACCGTTGACTGATATCAGTAAAGTTTGTGCAGTCAATGTTTGGCTTTCCTGGTCAGGTGTTTGAACATCTGGGCATCTCGGATGTCTGTGGTAAGCTAGTCTGAGGCCACTTTTCACTTCCAAATAAATTTGCTTGACCGTACTGCTGTTAAACACCACTATCCTCCAAGGTATTGATATCATTTTTCTCATTAGGAGCCTGTAACACATCAGATTCTCAAACAGTATAAAGCATTCACGACTGCAGTTTGGCTAATTTTGATCCACCTGTTTCATTGATAAAACACTCGTGGCGGGGTTTCTCCCAGTTTGTTTCTTCTTTGAAGACCGTTGGTTCATTGGATAATGAGCTCGATTTGTCTTCCCACAACTGAGCCATCGCGAAGTAGCCGTGAACAACTTTTTGGTTCTCAGATGATGTGGCGGCATTTGTTCCGTTTATCAGTGTTGCACTCGGACACTTTCTAACGCAAATCTGTGCAGTGCAACTTGGGAAACGCTACCTCGCCATACTGTCATTGACCTGGCTGAGTCACTATTGTGGCGGATGACGATTTACCGCGCCACACTTTATTCCTTTAGGTCGTAGTACAATCGGTGTAATCATTGACGTAGAGAACTGGCGATGCTCCTGGTATTGTCGGCGTAGTAGGACACAACAGCTAGGGAATAGAAATAATAAGAGCCGAGTTGCGAAAAATCTGTTCGATGTTTGAAGCCGGTTGCAGGCTAAAATTCTCACTTATTAGGTGAGCAACTAACTTTTCAATCTATGTCAAAGCTAGGATGCACAACAATTGGATAGCACCTTCAGTTGGGGGACGGACTCCACAGTAAAGTAAATCATTTAGCCACTCTTGCAGTTTCTGGCTTGTTTTTTAAAGATACACTGGGTTTTTATTTAAACTAACCATTCTGGAGAGTGAGCAAAAGCATGACATAAGTTCAAGGCGATATTACATCCCTTGCTGTTAACGTATGGGTTAACTGACGAACACTGCTATGTTGCGCTAGCTCTCCAGTGGAGAATGCGGAACACTTCAGGACTTGAGGTTGTTTTCGGACGTTAGCTCATCCCTTCTATAAACACTGGGATTCTGAGTGCAACCACAATGCGTAGAAAAATGCCGTGAGCGGTAACCACCTAATGCTCCCGTATTTGGGCCAAGAGCACGTCATTTGTCTACTACCCATCTGGCCACAAACCTATACCAATGGTCTCTGCTAGTTCCTTTAATTATGCTGCTCCAAGCAACCAGACCAGCAGAATCCATAGTGTGGCCATCGCTAAGCCATATATATATATATAAACATGGACTTCGGTGCAACAACACAATGTAACAGTCTCGACGAAACACAGGCACTTGAGGCTTATCGTGCCGAACCTAATGCATGGTCAACACATTTCTCAGTTCCAACAACACTCGAATGAGCCAAGGGATTCGGCTACTTGGTTATCATCACGCGAAACCTATGAGCGGCTTACTGGACATGCTGATTCGTCTTTCCGATCTTAGTCATTTGGTTCCTACCGACTGAAGAACACTTAGACAAGTCCACCCCGACCTAAAGCTGTCACCTTGACGTGGTGGTCGGGCTTGAGTGCTGCAATGATCACGCGGGCTACACTGGCTGGAACTTCGTTCCACAAGGTCTAACCATGCCAGGAAGGCCAAAGGGGAGCAGC